ACTGATGAAGAGTCCCAAACTAGGACGAAACAGCTGTCCAGTACTCCTTGGCAGGTTTTCCAATGGTTCTCTAATTGATGTCAGCTCATGATGAAATCCTGTAACTAAAAAATTCATTTTTAACAGGAAGACATCGTCATACGGAGCTTAATTCATAGAATAAATATAGAATAATTTCGAAATAGAGATGGAGACCTCAGAGTAAAATAACCAACGTATCAAGAGAGGTGAAAAATTTCAGTCCAAAACAACTAAACTGACTCTAAACTAAGAATAATAATAATAACAGTATTTTCTTTGATTGGACACTAGCCAGTAACTAGTGTTATGCGTCTAGTCCTTTTTCTTTGGTGTGGACAGAATTCTATCAGTCAGTCAGGTTTGCTATTTGGCCAACATTCGAGGTAGCTCACCATCACAGTGAATATTGATTTGATGATATTAGATGGTTGGAGGCAATCGGTCACAGGAAGCCTTCGACCACTTAGGTTTCGTGCTAGTTGGCACTCACCAGTCAGTCAGCAGGGCATATCTTCAACCAGCTTCAAGGAATTCATGTGCCTTCTTCTGAGATTCGAATCCGCATCACCCATTGTTGCCTGCATTCAGAGACGTTACCACTGAGCTGTTCGGACTCGAGATTGACCTTCTGCAGGACTGTAGTTGATTGGGCACTAACCCGTAACTAGTGTAATGCATGTGTCTAGTCCTTTCTTTGGTGCAGACTGAATTCTGTTAGTCAATATTTTCTTATGTTCAGTGAAGACTGAAAAACCACACAAACATTTATCTGCTCGTTTACATATATATATATATATATATATATATATATATATATATAGAGAGAGAGAGAGAGAGAGAGCAACTTATTATTGGCTGTTTAATTCCATCTCAGTTGGTGAAAATAGTCTAGGGAGTTACCTTGTAAACTGATGACCTAGTGAAATGCCTACCGCTGAAGATCGGCTTCAATGATCTTTTAACTGTTGTCAGCTTTAGAACTAACCTGAAATAAATAAATAAATAAAGTAGAATGAAATAAAATCGACTACTTATAAGTAGGCGATAATATCAAGCAGTAAGCATTAGAAGAGATAACGCTATCTAAAGCAAATAAATATGTGTGTCAGATGAAGTGAAATGTGGACAAGAATTCTTGAATAAAAAGTTTTTGTAGGCATACTTGCATTTTTTTTCCTACGAGCAGATAAATTCCTCTGTGGTTTTCCAGTCTTCCCTGAACATAAGAAAATATTGACTAACAGAATTCAGTCTGCACCAAAGAAAGGACTAGATGCATCACACTAGTTACGGGTTAGTGCCCGATCAACTACAGTCCTGCAGGAGGTCAATCTCGAGTCCGAACAACTGAGTGGTAACGTCTCTGAGTGCAGGCAACAATGGGTGATGCGTGTTTGAATCTCAGAAGGAGGCACATGAATTCCTTGAAGCTGGTTGAAGATATGCCCTGCTGACTGACTGGTGAGTGCCAACTAGCACGAAACCTAAGTGGTCGAAGGCTTCCTGTGACCGATTGCCTCCAACCATCTAATATCATCAAATCAATATTCACTGTGATGGTGAGCTACCTCGAATGTTGGCCAAATAGCAAACCTGACTGACTGATAGAATTCTGTCCACACCAAAGAAAAAGGACTAGACGCATAACACTAGTTACTGGCTAGTGTCCAATCAAAGAAAATACTGTTATTATTATTATTCTTAGTTTAGAGTCAGTTTAAATGTTTTGAACTGAAATTTTTCACCTCTCTTAATACGTTGGTTTCACACGAGAATATCGTGAATGAATTTTTTTGTTGGAAAGTTACACACATTCCCTTGTAAGGATTAGTTAGTTGATTAGGTTGTGAAATTATATCAACTTAGATATCTAGAACTCGCGTTAAACATGCCAGACCTCTGGTTTTGCCGTCGTGCAATGTTAACTTTCATAGGATAAGATTGACGAGAGGTATAGGTATCATGATTAAATCAAAACATGACATGAGTCGATGTAATTTTTGACTGTAGGTTTTAACCTACCTCATAAGGAGGTCGTTGAGGATACTCTAAGACCAAGTGTCTTGACACTGTTTGGGATTTGACTGGTATTCACCCTTTCTAATCTTCCAGATCTATTTTGATGCTCCTGTTTCTCCACGTTACTATTCCTTCTGGCGTACAATTTTCTTTCTACTATCAGATGTTGCATAGAGTGTGGTATTTTAATTTACAAAGTTCTATGTTTTGAAATCCAAGCCGTACCCTCATACAACTAACTAGAAAACTTAAAGATACTGTATATAGTGTTGTGTATGTGTGTGTGTGTGTTCGCCAGCTACTCACAGCGCATGGTCTGGGTTCGATTCCCGCCCAGTTTAACTGTTAACTGATAATCCCAGAATAATCTTTAAATATTCCCATTTATAATATTAGAACAAGACATATAAGCGAACAATATTGTTTTCAATTAGATCTTCAGGCTTTACTCTAATTTACATAGACTTAAAATTTTAACCAATGACGGTGATTTTGTGGATCAAATAATAATAGTAATCATAATAGTGATAATCATAATAATAATGTGGTAAATGTTTTGAACGAAGTTAATAGCGATGATTATAATAATAACAAAATATTGTTAATAAGGCTTGTATAGGTGATAAGAATAACAAAGTTAGTATATGCATATATGTAGACAATTCAATAAATAAATAAATTAGGTCAAATCAAATGGAACGATAATCAGAGTTTAAATAAATATCATAAAAGTACGAAGGAGATGGATGATGAGAAAGGGTAGGAGGGTTTTGAATAGAATTCACCTAGACTAAGTAAGGGAGAGACAAAGGTAGAACAAATTTCTTTTGTATACAAAGACTAGGATTGTTCTCTCCAATTCCCATACCTTCGGCTAAGTGTAAAAGACGAGTTCGAATTCCGTTAGAAATGCTCGATGGAATGCGATAGATAACTTTGAAGGCACTATTTTTGTCCACTTGGTGACCACTATCATCAATCAAATGAGCCAAAATAGAACTTCGTATGGACTTTATTTGACCTTTTCCGAACCATGAAGGAAGATGCTCATTAATGCGTTTGTTAAGCTGTCTAGTTGTTCGGCCTATATAGCTTTCTCCACAGGAGCAACTAAATTTATAGATACACATGGAAGTGGCACAACTAGGTAACTTATCTTTCACTCGAGCAATCAAAATTGGCCGGCTAGAAAATGACAAACAGAAGAAAGAAGGTTGAACAGGGGACTATGAGCCCCACCATGTAAGAAAAGAAACAGCTTTGCTACTGAAACTTTGAAGCGTCTTATTGCACTGCTTTGTTCCTAAAATGACCCTTATTATTCGGATTCTCCATTTTTTCGATGGATCAAGCCCCCGTTATTGATCTCTCCGTGCTAAAATGGGTTTTTGGACAGTTATACACACACACACAGGTAGGATCAGAAGTAACTATAAGTGACTATTTAATCACACATGGCAAGTGAGTCCATGGGGTTGTGAAGCTTCATCTAGTGTGATGACTCTGACTCGTATCCAGGACTCATACCAAGCCACTGTTTCCCCAGTCGATCAGTGTCAAGTGATATAGGATTACGTTTGGAAAGGATTAGGTGTGGTCAAACCTAAGCATGACATGAAGGGTTTGGTTGTGGGGTTTAAGCCAGCCGCTTAAGGAAGTGTATACTGCCTGGGTGGGAGGTCGTCGAGACGCCTAAAACCAGTGACTTACCACTGCTTGTGATATGGCTCGAAATGTGTCCCATAATGGCTGAGATGTATTCACTCTTTCGAATCTCTTAGATCGATTTTATGCTCCTGTCACTCCATGTTATTATTCCTTCTCCATCCTGGTGTGTGTTGTGTAGAGTATGGCTTTTAGATTTCCTGCTTTTCTGTACAAAGTTCTACGTTGAAACTCAGTCAGACCCTCGCACACCTTAAAACAAAGCTCAACGATATTGTATCTAGTCTTGTGTGTAACATTTTCATCCATCTATTGCGCAATACCAGAATGTTCGCCAACCACGCACAGCGCATGGTCTAGTTTCAACTCCTAGCTAACACGTTTACTCAGTTTACTAGCTAGCCAATGGTAATCACGGGGAAGAAGGAAGGTTGGACAGGAGACTAGGAGCCCCACTGTGGTATAAAAAGACAACACTGTCACTGTAACTTCAAAGTTTGAAACTCTTAACGACTTTAGAAGTCTTCTTTTCTCAGACTTAAGAACATTCCTAGTCCAGTGGTTGATTGTGAAAGTATTCACTTTAAAATATGTGTCGTTTACCTTCTGTTCTGATCTTTGGAATTCACCAAGCTGAACAGTAATAGACAAAGCAATTATCTACACTTATAATATTGAGATATACTGTTACCGTTGACTATTTGTTGTTGATTCAGTCGTAGAACACTCACCAACACCATGGATATAGTCTAGATTCAATCCCCAGTTGACGACACCCTGCTAAACCTCACGGAATTCACTGGGCGGTAACAAGTATGGTAAAGAGGGTGGGGTGGGGGGGTAGGGTGTAAGACTACTTACTATCAATCCGACTTCATAAACATAACACTCTAGCGAATGAAACTACAAATTCTCAAAACTGAAGTACTATTGCCTTCTTGGGCAGCAAATATAGTGAATACATCATATGTATGTATATAAGTGCGTCGGTGGCACAGTGATAGCATCCTCGCAAACTACGCCTCATGTAGTAGTCCGGGGTTCGATCCTCGACCACTCCTTTACCTTCCTGAGTCAGTCATAAGACTGGTAAAGACGGAAAGTTGGGCATAGTGAGGCTAGGAACCCCATCCTTTAAAAATAAAAAAAGCACCACTGTTACCGAAACTTCAAGCCTCTAACTTGAACCCCTCCCCTCCCTGTGTGTCCACTGAGGACGTAAAGGAATAAAAAACATGTATGTATATAACCTTTGATATACGATCTTTCTTTGTTTTTACTTTTTCCTCACACAGATTTTTCATCACTCATGTTCTCTCTGAACCAATAAACTCTTCTGAAGAAGTTGAAGCCAATAGCAATTGGATACATGGACTTATAAGTGATGAACTTTGTTGTCAATCACTCGGTAGTGAATTCACTTCGAATTTCACCTCAAATACAACATGCCTAATTTGTGGTCCATCTGGTTTCAATGATGCTGCTTTCGAGTAAGAAGTGTTAACAATTTTTCGCTTGTTTTGTTTCTAAATTTTTTTCAGGATTTCATCATGAGCTGACATTAGTTAGAGAACCATTGGAAAACCTGCTAAGGAGTACTGAACAGCCAGATGTTTCGTCAAACCAGTTTGGGACTCTTCAGCTGTACGCACTCACCACCACGGGGTTCGAACCCAGGACCTTCCGGTTACAAGGCTAGCGAGCTCGTAGACCATTAAGCCACTGGGACCCGATCCAATGGCCAGTCAGCGCATGAATTCTAACTTCTGCCAACCCACGACATAGCGTGACCGCTAGCCAATGTCTTCGGGGAGTATTTGTCCTCACACCAGCTGACCTGCTGCCCCCTACTGGTCATGACTTCTCAGTAGAACCCCAGGTTACTACCCAACCTGAATAGGGCCAGTCGCCAGTGAGCATCTCATTGGTATTCAAGTATTGGCTTGTAGGGATTTGATTGATTGGTTACAGGATTTCATCATGAGCTGACATTATTTGGAGAACTATTGGAAAACCTGGGAGTACTGGACAGCTGTCGGTTTATTCTTCAATGATATTGAATATTGAATATATCAGATGACCGGTTAAGAAGGATAAACAGCCAGTGACAAGAACCTCTGACAGCAGCTAACCAATCGAAATAGTTTAATTCGTAAGTTAATTGGTGGGTGGATGGTGACTAGCAGTGGAATCCAGTCCAGGATAACGCCTATTTCGCCCTATTTGGGACTCGTCATATGGATGTACCTGCATTTCTCAGTGGGTGATGATGTTCCCATCGAGGCTCGAACCCAGTACCAATAGTTTCAAACGCCAAAGTGTTATCCGCTAGACCGCTTGGGCCACGAGAGCTTGCCACCTCTTGTGCGACAGATCATATTAATTTAATTTAATTTGAGATTTTTCCGTCGATTGATTGGGTACTGGGTTCAAGCCTCGATGGGAACATCATCACTCACTGAGAAATGCAGGTACATTCAGTTGACGTGTCCCAAATAGGAAGAAATGTGCTCTATCCTGGATTCCACTGCTAGTCACCATCTACCAATTAAATACTAACTAAATGCCCAGACATCGTCGAAGCATCTGCACAAGAAGCCGACAGATATGTCAACCAGAGATCGAGCACTTCGGTTCAATCAATCGACAGGAAAATCTCAAATTTAATTAAATCCATATAAATTTGATTATTTAAACGCTTCCCAACACTGCATATTTATAGCATTTTCAAAATATTCTCAGGGAGTTTTGGTCATGATTTAATTCCTTTCGACAATAAAAACTATTATCGGCTAACAGCAGCCACTTGCAGAAGCATAGTTTGCATGACTCTGTGATCTTTAGAATATTCTTGAATGATTCACATCTGCCAGAGTCCATTGTTATTGATCTCCTGTTGCCACCCAGCCAGTCACCTGAGCTTCAGTATTGAACTGTTGGCGGGAAATCTGCAACAGCTTCTCGGTAATGCTTTATGTGACCCGCGAGTCATATCTCTCTTAAGCATATCTTATAGTGCTGGCCTTGATCAGCATCTGTCGGTCATGCTTCTCTGACTCCATCCATCCATCCTGCCTCCAAAGCCTCAGTATGGTCGGGGGTGGGTGCCTTGCGCTGCGGGTCGGCCACCCCTCCGCACACCTCTTGAAATGCTCCCATATGACTGGGCGTCTTACATAGCCTCTCCTGAGGAAGTCCTACTCACTGCCTTCACGTGGTGGAGGTGTTTTTCACCGAAGTGAGAGGGCAAAAGCGGATGCCCGGCGCTCTTCACCGGGCTGACTGTCCATTGGATGACAGTCTAGGGGAGATGGCTAAACCCTGATTCCAAACCTCCAACGACTGGCGTATGAAGCTCACCGGCAGACGTATGGACAAAGGGTTTATTGGATGCCCTGGATGTCTGGCCCCATTCAAAAAAGCGTATGAACCGGACTCCGGTTACCGGCTGACTGACAATGGATAGTGGACTCCCTACTCCACTCCTACTACCTTGTAGGTCACATTTGGTTGTGTCAAGGCTAGAGCTGCACTCTCAAACAAAAGGCCGAGAGATTCTGGGGACTTCACTTGTACCTAATTCCCATGAAACTTCATGAACTCTCGTGGCTACAACATCAACCAAATTCCAGTACTGGTCCAACAACGTCGCCTTCGGTGGTTTGGCCATGATGTTCTGCGCCGACCAGATGACTATCTGGTCAAATCAGTTCTAAATCCCTCGCCATTTCCATCTTGGCGATGTCTCAGGGGTGGACAGCTGAAAACATGGCTTGGTACAGTCAGTCAAGGCTGATATGGAGTGACTGGGCTGGGGCTACAAACCGTCTACGGACTCCGTCTGTGGAACAAGAATTGGATAACCCTGTCGCAAAACCTTGCATCAGACCGCCGCGCCTGGGCAGCGATGATTCGAGATGTTCATGAAGCCGGCTCATCCTCCCGTAGGAGATAGCCGAAGTAAAGAAAAAAAAGAGATCCTGATTGACTGACTGATTTCGTTATCCTCATGTATACAGCAGAAATAAATTATACCTTGCCTGTAATCATATATCCTCAAATTGAACATTGACATAATTTATATTCAATTGACCTAGGTATAAATAAAATGAGAATATTTAATTTTTTACGGATTACAATAAACAATCTCTAATTTGTTTTATTCACTTCCTCACCTCACTCATTATTCATATTTACAATGTTTCTATGTCTGTCTGCGTGTACGTATGTATGTGTGTGTGTGCCTGTCTGTTTGCATATAACACCTCTGTACACAATAGTCATTCAATGATGACAGAATAATTATGTTACTTAAAGGAAAACAAAAGTAGAATTGATTTCACCGAGAGAGAGAGAGAGGGAGAGAAAGAGAGAAAGCCAAGATGTATTCAGGTCATACATATTAGTAAAGTCTATTGGGAACGAAACGGATATAATTGCTGTCAGGTGTAAGCATCAGATTTATTTATAAGCCATTCAAAAGTGACCTATTTTAATTTAAGTGAAAATATAAAACATCTTCACACGTAAACTCATCTTTACAAATGTGAAAATAAATCACAGCTAAATCAGATTATATATGAGTGAGTGAGTGAGTGAGTGAGTGAGTGAGTGAGTGAGTGAGTGAGTGAGTGAGTGAGTGAGTGAGTGAGTGAGTGAGTGAGTGAGTGAGTGAGTGAGTGAGTGAGTGAGTGAGTGAGTGAGTGAGTGAGTGAGTGAGTGAGTGAGTGAGTGAGTGAGTGAGTGAGTGAGTGAGTGAGTGAGTGAGTGAGTGAGTGAGTGAGTGAGTGAGTGAGTGAGTGAGTGAGTGAGTGAGTGAGTGAGTGAGTGAGTGAGTGAGTGAGTGAGTGAGTGAGTGAGTGAGTGAGTGAGTGAGTGAGTGAGTGAGTGAGTGAGTGAGTGAGTGAGTGAGTGAGTGAGTGAGTGAGTGAGTGAGTGAGTGAGTGAGTGAGTGAGTGAGTGAGTGAGTGAGTGAGTGAGTGAGTGAGTGAGTGAGTGAGTGAGTGAGTGAGTGAGTGAGTGAGTGAGTGAGTGAGTGAGTGAGTGAGTGAGTGAGTGAGTGAGTGAGTGAGTGAGTGAGTGAGTGAGTGAGTGAGTGAGTGAGTGAGTGAGTGAGTGAGTGAGTGAGTGAGTGAGTGAGTGAGTGAGTGAGTGAGTGAGTGAGTGAGTGAGTGAGTGAGTGAGTGAGTGAGTGAGTGAGTGAGTGAGTGAGTGAGTGAGTGAGTGAGTGAGTGAGTGAGTGAGTGAGTGAGTGAGTGAGTGAGTGAGTGAGTGAGTGAGTGAGTGAGTGAGTGAGTGAGTGAGTGAGTGAGTGAAATCTTGGTCATAGTTCATCTGAACCAGTACCGTTTATTAGATGGTTGGAGGCAATCGGCCACAGGAAGCCTTGCCTGACCTAGGTTTCGTGCTATTTGCCACTCACCAGTCAGCAACGCGTTTCTGCAACTACCTTGAAGGAATTCATGTCCCTCCTTCTGAAATTCGAACCCGCATCACCCAGTGCTACCTGCAGTCAGAGACGTTACCACTGAGCAGCTATTCGGGCTGGCGATCGACCTCCTGTAAGACATTGCAAACGTGATTGACACAATTCAGTTTGCACCAAAGAAAGGACTAGACACATCACACTAGTTACAGGCCAGTGCCCAATCAAAGAATCAATACTGTTTTGCATGTAATTTATTTTAATTGTGTTGTACATGGCAATGTTCAACACAAATTTTTATTCACTGCTTCTATATGGTTCATAGTCTGAATGGGTATGTCACAGACAGCATATTCCCATCATAAGTCGCCTTCATCCAATAGTAAAAATCACATGGTCAGTTGGGAAGAATAAGCAGTAGCCTTACTCTGACACCGAACCAACCAAGAACACATAATTCATCCAATATACAAAAGTAAATAGGAGAGACAGACCGAATATATATAGGAGGAGGAAGAGCATTGGTTGATATCACGAGCCGTGTAGGATGATATGTGGAACCTGAACAGGAAGTCGGAGGATGGAACCTTTGAGGCTGACGTAGAGGTGGAGATGATAAGAAAGGGAAATGAAGGCTTGTTGGTCATTTTTTGGAGCCAACTGAAAAAGACCTACAAAGAACTAAGTGGTAAAGTTATGTACTCCTGAAGTCTGTTGTTCGCTCTGGAACTAAAAACGATGAATAATAATAATACAATTACTAATAACAGTAATCATAAAGAATATCTTCTTTTCAACAAGTGAGGCTTGACTCTTAGCCTACATACTTCTAAATCTCTCCTTGCAGATTAAGTGGGAAGCTTGTGTGTGTGAGGTTATTGACTCTCTGTTTTATCATAATAGATATTATAATCATTCCTTTCGGGTTCCTAGTGAAATATAGGATTTTAGCTGCGGATTTCCATCTCACTCTATTCTCTCTGTGGTTCATTTTAGCTGGCTTTTCAACTATTACACTTAAGCTTACATTGATTTCCTCTTCCTTAAATGATCACATCCATTCAAGTTATTGGTTTGTAGGGATTGGCTTGATTTGTTACAGGATTTCTTCATGAACTTAGGATGAAAGAAACAACTGTCCAGTACTCCCAGGTGGTTTTCCAATGGTCCTCTAACCGATGTCAGCTCATCATGAAATCCTGTAATGACTGACCATATTCAGGTGGACAGTTGTTACCTGAGGTTCTTGTAGGAAGTCGTGACCACTAGGGGGTGTATACAGCAGGTCGGCTGATGTGAGGGTAAATAGTGGCCGAAGACATTTGGCTAGTGGTCGGTCTATGTGTTGTGAGCTGACTGGCCATTGGATCGAGTCTTAATGGTTTAATGGTCTACGACCTCGCCTTGCCTTGTAACCAGAAGATCGTGGGTTCGAACCCTGCTGGTGACTGCGCAGGAGCGCAAGTAGTCCCAAACCAGGCGGACGAAACATCTGGCTGTCAAGTACCCCCAGGTTTCCTGGTTATTCTCTAACCGATGTCAGCTCATAATCCCAAACTATTTTGAAATCATGAAAATTTTCAAAAGAATGGATACTGAACAAAGAATAAACACTCTTTTCGATAACCCCTTCATCATCAGGCTCTACATTTATACATACATTATAGTGAATGAATGAATGAATTAGTGTTATGAACAACATTAATGTTGTTGTTTAAATAACATCGAATCAATAATAATATTGATAGACTACAGCTGAATCGCATCAACATAGAATAAGCTGAATGTCAGAATAATTAGGAAAGATAATATTACAAATTCATGAGTTTATAGCTTCTACTGAAGGCCAAGGCAATAGCAACTTCAACATAGATGTGTTAATGGACTTAACCCTAGGTGACTTCAGCGACTCAGGAATTGACTTGCTACCGGGGAATAATCTCGTTGACTTAGAATATGCAGACGATATAGTCCCCCTAGGCGAAGACGCTGACGAAATGCAGAGTCTTCTAAACACCTTGAGGTGTAATCTACGAATGTTTGGCATGCGATTCGCTCCCACCAAATGCAAGATGATGTTACAGGACTGGACTACATCGACGCCTAGTTTAAAAATAGGAAGTGAAGTGGTAGAGCACGTTGACCGCTTCACTTATTTGGGAAGTACCATCAGCCCCAACGGGCTGATCTCTGACGAAATCTCAGCACGAATACAAGGGGCTCGTTTCGCATTTGTTAGTTTACGCAGACTCTGGCGTAGACGAGATGTTCGACTATCGACCAAAGGGCGGGTGTACTGCTCATCAGTCCGCTCCATCCTCCTTTATGGTTGTGAGACCTGGCCACTGAGAGTGGAAGACATGAAAAGACTAGCTGTCTTTGATCATAGGTGCCTGCGTTCTATTTCCCGTGTAAAGTGGCATAATAAGGTGAGCAACATGGAGGTTAGGCGCAGAGTTCTAGGTAAACAGGGGAAATCAATCGACGAAGTCGTGAAGCTACAAAGACTGAGATGGTTAGGACATGTGTTACGTATGCCCTAGTCATCGCCTCCCTCGACGAGCAATGTTAGCGGATATAGGGTGAGGCTGGAAAAAAGCTAGCGGCGGTCAAACAAAAACTTGGCTTCATCAGTCAATGAAATCCACAACAGTTGGCCTAAGCCACGTAGAAAGGTGCAGACTTCCAGGCTGGGGTCCTCGGGACGGTAAAAATCTATGGTTGGAAACAATTGGTGACATGGCTCAAAACCGTTCTCAGTGGCGCAGATGCATCCACTCCCTGTGACTTATGATCTCCAATGAAACTGTTTTGTATTTCTTTATTACTCCTTTGTCTCACACCTCTGCTCACTGTTTCTATTATGCTTTTCTTGTACTTTCTTCTCTTGCTTCGCGTGCTACACGGAATGTGGCGACTTGAACTTCCGCACATTTGTGCAAAGTTCTACGTCGAAAACAGACAGACAGACCAGGGCAATAGTAGGGGCTGGAGTTGCTTCTTTTGGACACACAGAGTGCTGGTTGTTTGAGGCGGATCGCAATAGCCTCTGCTGTTTGGTGCCTGCAGTGCTTCGATGTTTTTAGTAATTTATTTGGCACCCGGTATAATATAGAGAAGGATTCATCTACGCTGGATTTGTGTCCTGTTTGCACCAGATGGTCCAATATCGAGCTGTTAATAGTTTTCACTACACCTTTACTTAGCCATGCTGGAAGATGTTCTGGAGCACAAAAAATCAAGTTCCTAGAGCAACGGCCAATGTAACTTTCTCCATCATCAGCGCAGTTGAATTGGTAGATACAATTTGAAGTGACTAGTCTAGGTACTTCATCTTTCAGTTGAGGAATCGAAAACAGACGGACAGACAGAAACGAGGAATCACCATCGGTCGTGTAGAGAATAAGACGTGTAGTTCGCCAGTAGTAAAAGTTCTTAGAACTGATTTTCTTAATTTCCTCATAATTATCTCGCTTTGGAATATCGCCCATGAATTGTAGTCGTATATAAAGTGGCTTCTTGTTTACTGATAGTGAGTAGCGCTTTTCCGCTTTCTTTGTCATGTGTTTCTTGATAAATTTGTCGGGATAGCCATTTTCGATCAAAGTATCATATACAATCCTTAATTCATCTTTAATTACTTCTTCTGAGCTCTAACTCTGTGGCTGAGGGTCTTTACTAAATTTCTTTTGTGCTTGACAGGAACGAAGCTGTGAAAATGTGTATATTGTCCTGTCCAAGTTCTTTTTCTATCCAAATTTCTTTTTATGCTACCATCTGGTTTTCTTGTATGAAGGATATCCAGGAAAGCAATTCTATCTTGAGATTCATCTTCGCATGTGAGACTATCACGATTCGCCTCAAACAACCAGCACTCGGTGTGTGCAAAAGAAGCAACTCCAGCCCCTACTATTGCCCTGGCTGGCCTTCAGTAGAAGCTATAAACTCATGAATTTGTACTATTATCTTTCCTAATTATTCTGACATTCAGCTATGTTGATGCGATTCAGCTGTAGTCTATCAATATTATTATTGATTCGATGTTATTTAAACAACAACATTAATGTTGTTCATAACACTAATTCATTCATTCATTCACTATAATGTATGTATAACTGTAGAGCCTGATGATGAAGGGGTTATCGAAAAGATTGTTTATTCTTTGTTCAGTATGCATTCTTTTGAAAAAATTTAATGTGGGTCTATTTTGAAATCATGAAAATGTTTGATTTGTAGCTGAGATTGATGTTTTTGTTGTTGTCATCGTCGTTGTATTTCCTTTTCATGAGTTGGATAATTGAATTTTTGGAGAATTTTAGTTGCCTAAAAGGATGCTGTTTTTTTTATTGTTGTTGTTTTCCAACTGAAAGTAGTATACAATAACATTGTTTCGCTTACAAGAAATAGTCAGTGTATATATATATGTATTTCTTTTTTTCCCAATTTAATTATAGGTTAACAGAGAAATGGTCAATTCCCAAAAGATCTGTCCACGTTTTCAAAGGGTGAATTTATGCAGGAATATCTGACTTTATCTTTGAAATGTTGACATACATATGAGCACATATGTATATCCTTATATATATATATATATATATATATATATATCTTAAAAATTTGTATAGTTTACATGAATACTACTCATCCTGAATTATTTATAATTCTATTATTTATTTTACTTATCATTATTCTTCTTATTATTATTATACATAATACTATGCTTAATCTCTCTTGCTCTTCCTCTTTCTTCTCTCTGCCTGTGTCTCAGTGTCACCGTATTTCTGTTTCATCCCAAATGTGTATCATCCCTTAGATTATTCCTTATATCAGTAGTCCTGACTCTCTCTCTCTCTCTGTCTGTCTGTCTCTTCCATTTCGTTGCGTTCCGCATAGAACATTAGTCGTCTTCATTCAACTGTGATGTGGACATTTTGTCTCTATGCGGTGGATTTCACCTAATATCCAACCTCTTTAACACAGCGAAGTAAGGTTCAAAAAGAAGGAGTTCGTCGATAAGGAAACGATCCTGTCGGACCACGTGTGTGTACGTCTATGTGTGTGTGTGTGTATGTATGTGTCATGAATGATTGACCAGGCTTTTTTTTAAATAGTGTTAAATATCAAGTTAACACAGTTTTCAGTGTAACAAATTTTGTGTGTTTTTCATATGCTGGTGTAGCATTTGTAGTGAGTGAGTGAGTGGATTTCATTGTTGGATTTTTGTATTCCTCATGATTTCTCTCTCTCTCTCTCTCTCTCTATGGATATCTCACTTGTCATTTGGGATAGATAGTTCAATATCCTTTCATTTAATAATTAAATATACTCTTAAATTGTAACGGTTATTCTATTAGAAGGAGAGTTCTATATATCCATATCCATTTCTTGTATATATACATATATACATCCACGCTTAATACTTTGCGTTTTTTTGAAAATGCAGCATATTGTAGTGATATGGATGAACTCCCCTTGTGGGAATCTAAAGTGAATAGTAGTCAGTGAGTCAATCAGGCAGTCAGTTGGTCAGTCAATCAATCAATCAACTGCTCATCTTCTTCTATGTATAATTTATAATTAAAGAATATGTATATATATTTACATATATATTACATTGGACATTTTTTTCAAATTTCAACAACGTGTGCTTTCAGTAAATCACAATAGTCAGTCTCTTGTTTTTATTAGAATGTTAGAACATACTACTCATTGATTGATTGATATAAGTAGTTAAAGATAGTAGTGTATCGACAGAACACAAGGGCCAGTCAACAGATCATTTATTGAGAAAATCAACAGATATTTATTGATTTTTATGTACATTATTATTATTAGCGTTATTGTTAGCAGAAAAGCAACGTCTTCTGATTGGTTATTTTCTTCCTCAAGGTATCTTGTGTCATCTGCTGTGATTGGTCAGTGATTTTTTCAAGGTTAAGCGTTGTTATTGTTTCTTTGTTTAATTTTTCTTTCTCATAACCCCGATTTGCGACGTAAACATTGATGTAAATTGTTGTCTATGAATTTTGGCTTTGCACACAGCTCTGACCACAGTAGAAATAAAGCAAATGCATCATTTTTCAAATAATTGGTCATAAATCATCAGTAACCATCAGGAGTAATTCTGTAGAGATAAGGAACAGCGGAAACTTTGCATAGAATTAATTCTTAATAATACAGGACAGAATAAAAGTGGCATTCAAACTGTCAACAAACTCATTTAGAAATAAACTTTATCGGTTTAAATATCCTGTGGAGTCCATTAAACAAAACAATTCATTTTATCTAATAAACCTTCAAAGCCTTCAACAGAGTCAATCGAGAGGTAAGCTGGCAGCTACTTCGCTACTACGGGGTGCCGCTGACAACAATTATACCTCTCATCCAACAGTTGTACGACAACGCTGCATGCCAAGTATAATCCACAGCGGAAAATTCACGAAATCCTTCGAAAGGAAGACGGGTGTATGACAAGGTTGCCTACTATCGCCAATTATTTTCCTGATTGCAGTAGATTGAATAATGCGACAGACAACGGCGGGCAATGAGGAAACAGGCATAAAATGGACTCAAAACTAGACTTCGCCGATGATATATGTCTGATTTCCCACAAACTGGAATATTATGTGCAAATGAAAAGCAACAAGTTGGCAGAAAAAGCATCAGCGCTAGGACTTCAAGTGAACATAGAGAAAACAAAGCTGATTAACATTCCTGGCTAACAATCAGCATAAATGGAAGGAACATGAAAGAAACAAACTCCTTTACCTACCTACCTACCTACCTACCTGGGAAGCATCGTTTCAACTACAAGCGGAACTGACGAGGATATCAAAGCAAGGATCAGGAAAGCAAGATAAGATTTCATTACTCTCAAGTCTGTTTGGAGGTCAGCAGCGCTCATCATGAAAATGAAAGTAAGATCCGGATTTTCAACTCCAATGTGAAGTTAGTCAGTGGTATATACGGATCAGAGACTTGGCGTGTCATGAAGAGCACCACAAACAAACTACAGACCTTCATTAAAAGCTGTCTTCGTTCAATATCAGATGGCCGGCCAGAAAAGATCAGAAACAGGGAAAAATCTCTGGGAGCGAATTAACCAACCAAGAACCGATTGTGCAACAAATATGCAGGAAGAAATAGAGTCAGGTGGATTGGCCATACTCTGAGAAAACAAACCATCAAGTGACATCACTATACAAACCCTCAAATGGAACCTGAATTAGAAGCGGCGAGTTGGTCGTCCAAAGGTGACTTGGAGGAGGTCATGTGGAAATGAGATGAAAGCATGTGGGGAGACTTGGAGACAGGTGAAAACTTTAGCAGAGAACTGAACGCAGTGGAGACGTTTGACTGAAGCCCTATTTTCCTCTAGGAATTAAAGGAAACAATAATAATAATAATACCCTGCAATCACCGTACGTACGCATGTATGTATAAAGAAGGAACATCAGAGACTTCAGGTAGAATTCTTAACGAACCCAGATTAAGGTTAACATTTAAAAGAACCAACTAACTTTCTGTCGGATATAAAATCTGTCAGCTTAAGGCCCCTTTTCCAATAGATTCAATTAAGAATAATAGTACTAAATACCATGTAATGATTATGAGGTCAATTACATCATAAAATTCAAACTTGCAGATTAGAGTCAGTAAGATTATTGAAAGATAAAAGTTTATCTAGACTTCGGAAGAATTGACCCTGCTAAGTTAAATAACCTTGACAAAAGTTCAGATATTGTTTCGCATTCAATTGCATGTAATCAGAGAATAAGGCGAATATTAAAAAGTAATATAAGTTAGGTAGAGAGAGAGAGAGAGAGGTCAATCACTGAATGAATGTGTTGTTTCAACTGGACACTAGTCAGTAACTAACTAGTGTGTGATGTGTCTAGTCCTTGATATTTGGTGCAGACTGAATTCTATCAGTCAGTCAAGTTTGCAATGTTACCACCATGTCACTAGGTAGCTCGCCATCACGGTGCATACATTGAATTTTTTGATATTAGATAGTTGGAGGCAATCGGCCAATCGGAGGAAGCCTTGCTTGACGTAGGTTTCGTGCTAGTTGCCACTCACCAGTTAGTCAGTCAGTAAACAAGGCGTATCTGCAACTACCTTGAAGGAACACACTCATGTTCCTCTTTCTGAGATTCGAATCTGCGTCACCCAGTGCTACCTGCAGTCAGAGATGTTACCACCACTGAGCAGCTATTTGGGCTCACGATTGACCTCCTGTCGGAATGTATTCGATACTTTTCATTGGACTCTAGTTAATAACTAGCTTAATGTGTTTGGTGGAAACTGAATTCTTTGTTAATCGATTCAACACACCATACACATTCAATCGAAATGACGCAACACCTTTTACCAGAGATATAGAAAGTGGTAACATACAACAAGAGGAAAATGGACAGGGAGAAGAAGAATATATGAGATAGTTGGGGAGCCCTCTAACTAAATTGATATGACTATGAGCGGTGATATTTATGCCCGAAACGTCGGTCATCCAGTTACTTAATACTGCATCATCACTGTGTGACATTTGAGATAAACTTATCTAACATGGAATTACATTCCTCCACGGTGCCTCAGTTCTACATTTACACTGTTAGGTCAAACAAAGTATAAGAACGAAGTCAGTCAGATTAGTGGAGCATAAAAACCTAGCAAACTCTAGACCAGTTGATTCTAATAAGTTAAGAAATCTACTGAATAGCTAAGTGTGCGTAGCACATGCCTAGGGTATTTTAGCCAAGGCAGTCTTATCACTGCATCAAAAAACGAATTCATTTCTGACCAACAACTTGAAATTAGAACGAAATTGCCACTTAAGGATATAATAGTGAGAGTACAGTGACGCCTTACTTCCACAGTATTTAAATTCCAAGGGAAAATATACCAACAAACTGAGGGAGTTGACATGGGATCACCAATATCCCCGGTTGTAGCAGATATATTCAAGGATACGTGAGAAAACTTAGCGATTGTAACGTTCAGCACCACCTCAAAAATATGGTGAAGGTATGCAGATGACACATTCATTGTACTTTGAACACAAGATACAGATAGATTTTTCGAACACATTAACTGGAAGGTGGCGGCAATTCAATTCACTTATGAATTGGAAAGTCAGGAAGGGGAACTTCCAATGTTAGATTGCAACGTAAAAAGGAAAGAAGATGAGAAGTTAAACACACTAGTGTTTACAGGAAACCCACACATTCAAACAGATATTTGGACCTCCGATCATTCCATCCTATGTCAGTAAAAATAGGATTCGTGAAATGTTTAAATAATGGAGCACAAAAACTGAGTAGTACTGTAACAACAGAAGACAAGCGCCAGGAAACAGATCGTTTATTAAGGGAATCAACACGTATTTATGGATTTTCATGTACATGATTATAGATTATTGTTAGCAGAAAAACACAGACTTCTGATAGGTTGTTTCTTGCAGAAAGTTAACCTTGCATCTCTTTGTGGCTGCTGTTTCTTGAATGTCAGATCATCTACATGCTAACTGTATCCGCCTAAGCAGAGCCTTTCTTCTCATTTTTCTCACGACCAATATTGGGAACATAAACATTGACGTAAATTACTGT